ACTGGACTCATGGTTTTTTCTTGCTCTGCTGAGTTTCTGGTTTCTGTGGAAGGCACAGAACACTCAGTTAAGGCATAGAAACATACGACATTTATGAATCCCACTCCCTTCTCCCTGTCTTCCAGATTAGCTCAGCTGTCGGCCCTGTTGCATTTCCCCTCTGACTACCCCACTTCGTGCAGGCGCCCTGTGTGTAGTGTACTGCCTGTGCTGGGCTCAGCCCTCTGCCCCCTTGTGAGTAGACTGCTGCAACTGTCTCCCCTTCTCTTTGCCCCCAGTCTTTTGTCACATGTTTGCTGATGTGAACTGGCCAGAGGGAAGCTGCGGAGAGGCTGGTCCTGTTCCCTGTACTGGGGAATCAGACATTGGGTAGTTCTCACCCTGAAGGGGAGCCGGATGCAGCACAGATCATGAAGCCTTGAGTGGTTTCTGGCTGAGAAATCTTCTAGGGAGGAGGGCTGCGTAAGTGAATGGGCTGAGGCAGCTAGACTGATTCTCAAAATAGGGCAATTCATGCAATTCCAGGTGACTGGTCCATTTGGGAGCAGGCACCAAGCCAGCAATGGAGAGAGGAGCAGCAGGTCCAGCTGCCAGTGGAGGTGGTTGGCAAGAACTAGGCAGGGGCCAGGTCTAGAGCCTGGCAGAGTGGGGTTCAGGGCAGGGGACAACAGGGCTCCTCGGGCAGAAGTCCTGAAGTCTGCCTGGGCTGACCAGTGCAAGCAAGGTGGCAGTGGGAGCCAGGGGCTTCACCGTCTCCCCTGGACTTAGGGTACTGGCAGCCCTAGGAACTCCTCTGCTCTGGGCCTTCACTTGTATGGACCCCTCAGCCTGGAATATGCCCCCTCCTCACAAGCTCCACGCCTCCAAATCCGACTCGTCCTTAAAGGCTTAGATCGGATGCCACTTCTTTCTGGAAGCTGCCACTCATTCTGCCGAGCTGTGGTATTCTTTCTCGGCCTTCTATAGCCTTTTATTCCACTTCCTTTACTGCCCGTCCACTTTTTCCCTTGAACTATTATTGTTACTTATTGCCATTTTACTGGACTGAAAGATTTATTGCTTTCCTATATTAGTGTCTCTGGGTCTGTAGTTCAGTAGCTGTCAGCCTCCACAGGCCTGTTTAAACTCACTGTGGTCTTCCCAAGTGCCGTGAACTCAATATTTCCAGTTGTTCTTCCCTGGGCACTTGCGCCCCTTATGTTTTGGGAGGTCCTATGGTAGCTCTGGCAATGGTCTGTGAAGGAAAAGTGACAGGTGCCACTTCTAGGCCAGAGCATTTGGGCTGGTCTGAGACCCTTCCGTGTGCTCTTTTCCTTCAGGCGTGGCAACTAGCAATGCTTGTGATGTTGGCTGCTCTGTCATCCTGAGTCCCCCTGAATCAATATGATAGCAGAGCCCCCTTCCTGCCCTGCGATGGGCACCCAGCGTGAATGAGAAATAAGCCTTTGTTATTTCCAGCCACTGAAATCTGAAGGCTGCGATGGCAGCGGGACCCGGCCCGTACTGCCGGGCGCATTCAGGGAGAGATGACCAGCACATCACCAAATCCTGCTGGCTGGCGCTGAGCTGATGGGAAGGCACCAGCAAGGGGCAGCTGCCTCCGCAGGCGGCAGAGTGCTCCTCTCAGCAGTGCGGTCCCTCGGCCTCGGCCTGGCACCGTGGAGCGCCAGCGATTGAGATGCAGCCGTGCAGGAACGGATGGCGCCTTCCGCCCTCCTCTCTACGGGCTGCCCTCTACAGTAATTAAAAGCTGGAGATGAGCAGAGAGGATATTCTCTGTTAAGTTAGAATGTTCTTTTTTTTCATTTTCGAGGCTGCAATGGCGTTTTCCCATGGCTTTGCCAAGCTGTGCTTCGCAACGGTTAGCAGGATGACTGTGCTGGGGGGCGACAGCATCGTACTTTCCAGACAGGAGTGTGTGACCCACTGCCCTGGAGTAGCTTCGGCGCCTGGAGGGTCTGCTTGTTGAGCTGAACAGCTGAGGGAACAGCCGAGCCCCGCGTACCCAAGGCTCTGGGAGCCGGAATCCTGACAAACACAGGTGGATTCCAGCCTGTTGGAATACACAGTTATTCCTTGGGCAGAACAGAAACCAAACAAGCCCTTCCACTCTACCTGTGAGAGAACGGAAGTTGTTATCTACGTGAAGCAAAGATTAAAAATAAAAGCTTTGTGTTGTCATGTGCGTGTGCTGACTGCTAAACCTCAGGAACGCGAAATGACAAGAGAAATGGGCAAGAGACAGAGATTTAATTGAATAAAAACTCCAGGCTGTGACAGGAGTGGGAAGACACAAAGCAGTAATTAACAACATAATTTTTTAAATGACGATGCAATTAATTAACATCCTGGGTAAGTGCAGAAGCAGGGGCGGGCATCTTTCAGCCCAGAACCACTGTTAAATAAAGGAGAAGGGAACTTTGTGGTTTTTTTTTTTTTTTTTTTTTTTAAATCTATGTGCAAATGGCCCTGGTTATTGCAACTTCAGCAAAGCTCACAGCAGCCCAGGAGGTTTTGTACTCCAAAGGAAGCCAGCAAATATCAACTTGGTATTTCACTTTATTTCCATCTGGGGGGGAGAAATACTGGGCTGGATAATGAAACTGGCAGATATTCAGGTTTCATTCATGATTCGGGTTGAGGCCAGTCTCTCCTGAGGGTGGGAGGCTCCAGGAGCTAAAAGCTCCCTTGGGGTGGGATCCCCAAGCCTGTAGGAATTGACCGAGACCAGACCGCTGGAGCAAGAGTGGGAGCGGTTGGTTCGGGTGGTGTCAGGGCTGGCCATAACCGGTTTAGGAAACGATTTTCTGAAACTTTTGGGATGTTCATTCATGTGAGATAGCTTCTTGGATATAAGAGGAATCCCTCAGACGAGCAACACTATTCCATGACTCAAACTGACCACACTCCCTTAGTTTAGAATGGGTATCCTCACCTACCTAAGGGTTTAAAGATGACAGCTGGACATGGATTTTGAGTTCACTTCTAGAAGGACCTTCTCACACTAATTTCTGGGCTCCTTGTGACCCAGGAAACTCAATTGTCCCTTTGTGTGTGGCAAGACCCCCAGCTTCTGCTCACTGGCTGAGATGGCCATCTTCATGGGGTCAGTCTAGCATCGAGAAACATAATGAAGTTTGTCACCTACTGAAAGTCTTGTCATGACCTTAGGTTTTTTTCTTACTCTCAAGAGAACATTCAGGATGGGCATGGTGATTCATACCTCTAATCCTAGCACTCTGGGAGGCCGAGTCAGGAGGATCATTGGGAGTTCAAGACTAGCCTGAGCAAGAGCAAGACCCCATCTCTACTAAAAATAGAAAAATTAGCCAGGTATGGTGGCCTATGCCTGTAGTCCCAGCTACTCCAGAGGCTGAGGCAGGAGGATCACTTGAGCCCAGCAGTCTGAGGTTGCTGTGAGCTAGGCTGACACCACTGCACTCTAGCCCAGGCGACAGAGCAAAACTCTGTCTCAAAAAGAAAAAAAAAAAAAAAGAGAGAACATCCAAATGCAGGATTGCCTGACTAGGAAGGCCTGTCAATCACAAGAGGTTTGGGGAAGAAAGTGATCTTTATACATAAGTCCCTAGCCTGAGGCTCAGTATAGGGTGGAATTTAGGTTTACCCACATTTACTTTTCTAAGCTGAAAACTTCTTTTTCTACAATATCCTGTTAGCTCATGCCCAATCTGGTCATTTTTAGTGTTAAAAAACATCACTCCAAGTTATATCAGCAAAGAAACCTGATAACTTGGCTTAAAATGAGGGTTACTTTATTGTTGCTGCTTCTACAGCATGTGACAAATATAAAGAATAAGACACAGGTGTGTGAATAGTTTTTATGTTCTTGACCTTCTGTTGTTGAAAGATGGGGTTCTCTAGCAGACTTGCCTCTTGCAAGTCATACACACAGCTCCGGAAACCAGCATTGTAGTCACAAGCTGAAGTAGAAACTCCTCTCCATGTGCCTACCAGGGCCGTACAGACCAAGACTGAGCAAATCACCCTGTCTGAGGGGTTGGTGGGAAGGCCACTATTAACAGAAATGTGCTATTACAATACAGAATAGTTCAAATGTTTTCTTTCCCTAACTGAACTTGGCCTAAGGTAGAGATTTAAAGGAAACAAAAAACCCTCACGACCACTGAAACAAACAACACTGAAATACTTAGTAATTTATAGAACTGAAGTTTAAGATAAATATTGTCCCAGAGTCAATGGGGCTCAAATAGGCTTAAGCTGACTTGGTTTCAATCAAGAAGATACTCTTCATAGAAAGATGGACTCACACTGTTACTTGGATTTCAAAATTTCCCATTCAGAAAAGAACATTTTTATCTAGTTTTTTCTTTGATCTGTTTAGGAATTTTAAGAAGCTACTTGATATTTCATGGAATTACAAAGCTATGTATAACACAGAAATCATTCCAGAACATATGTGCCTCTCTTTCCTTACAATGAAGGTTATTTTTGAGAACAAACATTCTGTTTTCAAACAAATGTGATCATTAACTGTGGCACGTCAGAAAACATATGGCATGTTTAGTCTCAGCGGAACCATTCCTAAAGAAAGTGACTAAGTTCTCATGAGGAATCAGGACGTTTTCAATTCACGAAGAAAGCCAAGGGGAACCCTGCACACCAGCTGAAGGTTCACGAACACCTCAGAAGTCTTGTGATTTCAACACGGGACCAGAAGTCCCATCTTAGTTTATGTCCCACCAGCGAAGAGCTTCAAAGAATAACAATCAGCCTTGTAAAGGCTCGTGGATTGCTTTGTGTCGCTCTCTAGGGCACTGGAAACGCAGCCACAGCTCTACCCCACCTCCTCCTTCTCCAGGGTTGCAAAGCTTGGTGGAGACACAAAATTTCAGAAACTCAATCCACCTCTCCCGAAAATACTGCTATTTTACATCATATTTTATAGAACCAACTTTTGGGCTCTCGTCCTTTGTTTTTTCCTACTCTTTTTTTCCTTTCTTTTCTTGACAGCAGACCCAAAACAGTGAAAACCACAAAAACATCACCTTAGGAGACAGAAAAGACTAAGACAGATCTGACCACACGACAAGCGTCTCAGCCTTGACCTACACAGGAGCAGGTAAGATTCCGGAGTGACAGACGGCTACAGCTGCCGCTGCAACTGCACAACACTGTGTTTAGACGGTTGAACAAGTGTAAAAAGAACATTGCTGAGTCCCGTTTGTGTTGCTTGGCTGTGCAGCTCATGGTGTCGGAGGTGGTTTCGGAGACGGACAGGAGCTCTCACTGTCAAAGCTGGCAGCTCGGCCCTGCCACTGCGAGGAGGAGAAAAATCCGGTTATTGGTGGCCAAGGGAATTTACATTTCAACTTGCAAAACTTAACTGGCCCATGCACTGAATTCACTTTTCCCAGCTTCTCATAAGCTTTCTTGAATTTTGCTGTCAGCCATGCAAAACCAAAGAAAACAGCTTAGAGCCTCTAGTTTGGAATACCTGATTTTCAAAAAGACCTACTGCAGAGATAATTAAAGCTTTCTTTGTTGTGTGTATGTGTATGTGTGTGTGTGTGTGTGTGTGTGTGTGTGTTTTAATGAAGAGCTATGACTGGACCACTTCTGAGTGCTTTAGCCATTTTTCACACTGGAAATTGTATTATGTTAGCAGCAAAAGAGGCAGTCTGCAGAGTATGTCCTTACTGCCAAGAGCCCAAGATCATGAATTATTAGCAATTTGTCTGGGAGCTGTTAGTCCAGCTAAAACCCTGATATTGCTTTAGCTTCAGGCTTTCTTCTTTGGTCTTAATTCTTTCTATGGGCATTTGCACCCAACTTGTGAAGAGGTAGGAGGTGTGAGGAGACCCTTTGGGCTTCTCCAACCCCTTCTCCTCCCCAGCTCTCCACACAGATTGCCTCCTCTCAGCCTGACTCCAACCCTTCTGTGAAAGTGGGTGATGCAATGAGGAGCGATGGAGTGAAGGAGAGGGCCGAAGATGGACGCACTCGAGCCACTCAACTCTTATTTAAATGGAAAATCGGTCTTAGGTACAGCAATGTTTCCTGGGCAAGGATCTGAGCCCGTGAATGTTCTTGACCTGTCTGGAGCCTGCATAACTTCAAAGTGAGTCAGCGTCCACTGCTCACTCTAGCCTCGTGTGGCCTGAGGAGACCCAGTACTCTCCTAGGCGCCTGCAGGACAGGGCTCCAGAGAGAGAGGTTAGGCAGGTGGTCAAGATGACCTTCCTGAACCTGAATGCAGCCTATTCTGCTTCTCATGAGCACGGAGCGTCCCCACTGTGGAGAGATGGCGCTGAGTAGAAGCTGCAACTGTAGACTTGTGCATGTAAGGGGTGGGGCAGGGGAGTATGTGGTTCCCTTCTCAACACAGCTGTTTCTAGACAGGGCTGAGCCACCTAAGGAATAGACCATTTGTCATCCCTCATCACCTATGGATAGATGGAAAACCCATAATGCTGAGGAGCAACCCAGACCTACTGAACGACCTTAATGCTCCCAATTTTAAGGAAAGCTTCTCTTACGCTTCTCTGGGCCCAATTCTTCATGGGCTCTTTATAACCCCTGTGTAGGCCAACTAACCAAGGCCTGGACAATTGGGTATCGATGACCACCACTATGTGACCTAGACCCGAGCAATCTTAGCATGGCAGGCTTGGGAGACCATCCAGTCTAGCCTCCTGTTCTTACAAATAAGAAAACAGAGACACAGACAAGTCAATAGACGGCTAGTCAGGAGCAGAGCCAGGACCCGAAACCAGGTCTTCTAACTCCCAACGCGGCGATCTTTCCACTTCATCCTGCTGCTATCTTAGCATTTGGCCGCACTAGGAGAAGGAGACACAAAATGTAATAAGAAAACTATCCTCTTGGGGACCACACCAGGTACTTACTCCTAACTCCGGGTGGCAGTCTCTCTGCTTGCAGCATCCACGTGAATGAAATCACAACCGAGGGTTTCCCTGGTGAAATATTTTAGATAAATAAATGCCTGGTTGTTGAGCCCATTGTGGCTTCCGACTCCAGTGTTTCTTACCCAGAAGGTGACATGAGATGATTACTAATGCTTTCATTTAACAGACCTTCATTTTAGGAGTTCTACTTTTTCCATTACAACTTTTAATGTTGGTGGAAGGTACATTGTAATTACTGGCTTCCTCCCTGGGTAAGCATGCCACTTAAACAACCTGATTGATAGGCCAGGTCAGAGGAGAAAACATGAAATGGCTACACAGAGTACCTTTTTTCCTTTACACAACAGCCCAAAGAGCAGTCACAGGGAGCATAATTGTTTATCTGGAACAAATGAAGAAGGAACACTGGCTCCCCTGCTAGTTCTTGATTTTTCCTACGAAGATGAACAAAGGGACGAGATGGGGTTCATGAACAATGGGAAGGTAAATGATTCCGGGAGGGTTATGGTAGCTCTAAAATAGCAGAGAACCTGTCCCCAGCCTGCAGGAAGATTATTGTTCCAGGATGGCTGTGTTCCAGTAAGGTCTTTTATTGTTCTGAAATGGGTCATGTTCCAGCAGAGATCTAAAATCTCTGGCAGATGATCTGAACTTGGCCCTCTGTAATCGAATGCCTTAGAGAAGAGCGCTGGTCAACCTGGGCCCTGTGTGTGGTGCCAACAATGACACGCGGCCCTGGCAGGAGTGCTGAGAGCAAAGGGGGCTGGCACCGCAGCTGGGCAAGGGTGCTTGTGATGGCTCAATACATTTTTCTTCATGAAAAAAATCCCAGAAAGATACATTTTCAGTTAATTTGTTCTCCTGAACTTTATTTTAAACCCCAAGCAAGCAAGCAAGCAAGCATGATGCCCTCTGTTCTTATTAATAAAAAAGAAATGATCACAGCACTCGAAACTCCTGTAAGAAGGGTGCAAGATAAATACCGAGTCCTTTACAGAAGTGATGCCACGTATTTTCCTGGGAGCTGGAGAAGATTTCTTTGTGTATTATACAGATGGGAGATACAAGTTTCAGGAGCAAGGCTCTTATTCAATGTCCAGAACAGGAATGAAAAGAAGGCAGGAGGTGAGCTCCAAGTATGATTGGGAGGATGCATATTCAAGTACAATACATCGCACAACGTGTTTACTTAACATTAGCCTAGTGGGTCTTTAGATGCATTTTTATAAAGATATCTAAACCGTGGGTGCTAAAAGTGTCAGGAAAAATGTTAAGCAAATGGTTGAAATCCTAAGTTGCCAAGACGAATGGCATTTTCGGCTTCTTCATAGGGAGAAATGATCAGCTGAGCAGAAAAGGGGGGATAGTGAGTTGGGGAGGGGTGGTCTCAGGAGCTCAGTGTGCAAGGTCAAGAAAAAAGAAAACCTCAAGGACATCAATTTATTCTCTTTTCGTTTTCCATATACTGTTACTTTTCCTTTACTGTCTCATCAAATATTCATTTTCAAGGGCTCAATTCTACTTTATCTTTCTTTTGTAGTCTGGACTAGTGAGCCAGAATTCTCAAAGAAACAGGGACTTGGAATCAATTATTTGGCTTAATTAGGTTGTATTCACCATGAAGGAGAGGGATTCTGGGCCACGTCCTGGCCCCTCCATGGTACCTGCACCCCGCCCCCAGCTGCGGCCGCTGCTCTCTTGGTTACTTCCCATTTTCCACGGGCAGGCCCAGCCTGCCAACAGCGATGGGTTGCTGCAGGTTCAAGAGTAGAAAGGCAGTCACTGTGCAAGATGTGGGCTCGTGGGCCATCATGTAGGGTCAGAGTTTCCTAGAGAAGCAGAGGTGGGAGGGGCCGACCCCCTCATTCTTCCAACGAGAAAACCAAAGTCCAGAGTGGGGCAGTGAGTTGCCTGAGGCCCCACTGCCCTCTAGGGGCCCCTTAGCTCTCATTTCATGCCCTGCCCCTAAACCCTCCTAAACAGGTTAGCACACTTATTCTATTCTTAAATATCTCTAACGATTAAAAAAAAAAGGGGGGTGCTGTCATGATCCCTCCTTGGGGTCAACATAGCATTCAGTGCTGCCTTCAGGTTGTCCAGCGTTCTGCCCAATAGCAGCCTCCTGAATAGGTGGGGGGCGGTGCTGGTGGTGGGTGCCTCACCCACACTCTGCAGAAGGGGGGTCAGGGGCTCCCTGGGGGGAGCCGGAGAGCTGAGGGACTGGTCTCCCTCATTAAGGCTACACAACTGTGGTAAAATCAAGGCAACCACAGGACAAAAACATAAGGCCTCAACTGACAGGAACTTTGCATCTTTTTACTCCTTGATGCTGCTTCAGATGCCACAGGGAAGGAGCTTCACAAAGCACATGCCTCCCTGGGGTGGTAAATCAATCAGCCTGGCTCTAGGAGGTCTCTGTCCCCTCAGCCCTCCCTCTCCCTGGAGGCTCCTCACACTGCTGGAGACACGTGCAAATGGGCTTGTCCACCCTGAGAAGGAAAAGGACCTGGCGGGTGCTCCGGGTTTGCCGCCCTGACGTTGTTGCATCACGGAGTGGGGGAGGGGATTACTCTGTTTTCAAGGGGACTCTGATTTTAAGCTGGGGGGCCATGTGGTAGAAGGGATAAAGGCTTATTTTTGTATTAGTAGATATTCCAACTTTCTAGACTTGCTGGGTTTGAAGCCTATTAAGATGAGGGAATGATCACCTAGCTTTCTAGATTATGGACTGGGGTGTGAGATACTGAAAATGAGGTTTAAGTCCTTCCTGGTCACCCCACATCCCAACCCGTTGGAGCAAAAGCAGGGCTTGGGACCACGGAGGTGATAGATCACAGAATCTTAAATTGGTGGGGTTCAATGGAGGGTGGGCAGACTGTGAATATCCGTCTAAGAAGCACGTCTTTGCAGCTGAGAGAGAAGTGGCAGGGTCAAGATTACACAGCGAGTCAGGAGGGGCCAAGATTGTAGCCCAAGTCTCAGGACTCACAGCCCAGTGCTCTCTCCATCACGTTTCTGGTAGAACCCGGCCCCAATCCAGCCCCACACTGTTAGCCAGAAAGCATGGCACCCTGAGTCCACTCCCAACAATGGTGAGAACCAACATTCATAAGAGGAAGAATTTGCTCTTTGGCAATCTCTATCCAAGTGGTGAAAACTGCCAAGTGACGGCCCGGCTTGAGCCTCAGGGAACTTACTGTTCCAACAGGGGTAGAATTTCTTGCCAAGCTCTGATCTCACACCCCTTGGGGCTTTCTCCTAAAGGACTGACTTGGCCAGGACCTTTGTAAAAGCATTTCAGGCCTGGCACAGTGGTCTGCTGGGAAGGCTTCTTCAAAGTTCTTATTTTCCATTAAGAACTCAGTGTTGCTTTCAAAATGCCCAACTCAGGGGCTTTTTGTCAAGCAGCCTCCGCCTCCCTCCTCCATTTCCTTCTGGCCTGTTACACACCGGGTGAGAAGCATGTGGCCCATGCCCACCTTCCCACAAGGGGCCAAGGGTCTTTAGCAGCCGACTGCCATTCTCCAGCCCACACTGCCATGCAGCAAACATGCCAAGGGCCAGGCGACCTCACCCACCTCTTTGAAGGATTTCTTTACCTCCACCAGGGAGTGCCAGTGTGCAATGGGCTTCCGTGGGTATGCCAGCATCTCGTTCCAGTGGTCCCTGCCCAGGCCTTCGGCATTGATCCCCACACGACAGACTCCTATGATCTCATTGTGGCCCACTCTGAGGGAGAAAGAAAGGTCCCAGTGTTGACTACCAGACATGCTCTCAGAAAGGGAGGTCTCAGGGGCAAGACTCTGCCCAGTGGGTCTAACTCAGAACTCTGAGCTCGGAAAACAGTTGCTGGGCAGGGCCTTGATGTCAGTGGCAGGGAAGCTTTTCCCAGCCTCTTTGGTGGATACTGGACACAGACAGATGAGCAAAAGGTTATGAACTTCTTTGGAACCTCAGGAAATGGTGGGCAAATGGCCTAAGTTTGGGGACTGTGAGAGTTTAAGTCTCTTCACTTGTTTGACTCGGCCAGCGCATTACAACCTCACTTGAGACGTCAGCATTTGCAAATAAATCAACCTGCTCTGAGCACCATCTCTCCATACCCCTAGAGGCTGGCATGTGATTTATTCACTCAGCAAGACCATCAATCATCGCTCAATATGTTCTTCAAGCACCTACTATGCCCGAGAACTTGTGCTAAAAATCCTGCACTGAGGCTTTTTTGCATGGTTTCTTTTTCCTTTAGCTAAAGTGACAACTGGAGGATGGAGTCATGGGGGCTGGAGTAGTCGAAAAATGTTTCTGGGCCAGCCTTGATGGAAGAGCAGGATAAGTGGAAGAGCAAAAATATATCTGAGGAAGTAGCTTGGATGGATGTGCTGGGGCCGGATTACGGAATGCCTTGAGAGTCCAGGGGAAAACCCTGGACAACAGGAGCCATTGATGGTTCTTGAGAAAAGCAGGCCCAGGAAAAAAGGAGTCATTTAGGAAGGTGTGTCCTCAGGAAGTGATGGAGGCAGGGGTCAGCTAAGCGGCTGCACAGCCATCCCAGAGTAAGAGTGGGAGCAGCAGCAGCAATGGAGAGGACAGAGAGGCATTTCAAGGACAGATGACAGGACTCAGTGCCAGATGGAAGAATGGGAATACTTGGGGGTGAGTTCAGGAAAAGTGGTGGGGGGAGCTGCACCTGATGGATATAGGCCAGCTGGGAGGAGAAGCTTGAGCCCTTCGTGAAGGCGGGATCCATGCTCTTCCTCAAACACCTGTGCCCTCCTTGGGTGGAGCCAGACTGGAGGCCAGTGGGTGCCTGAGCCCTGAAGCACAAGGTCTGAGGCCACGGAGCCCTGCGCTGCACTGGAGTGGGGGTGAGGGGTGGGATCAGGACCCTCTGGGATGCGCACCTACCGATCATAATCCATAACCGAGATGAGCAGGCTGACTTGATCCATGTTTTCAGGGGGAATGTCGAAGATGATGGCCTCGTTGTAGACAGGATTGAGAGTGTTCTTCTTTATGGTTGTCTTCTTCTTCTTCAGCCTCCGCCCGTCACAGAGCAGGGACACTTTGACATACGGATCTGGGCCAATGGAGGCATGGGAGGGGAAGGAAATGTGTCAAGCAGATGTTCTCAAACAGCATTTTCATCAAGGGACCGAAGCCCTAGGCTGCCTGCTGCTCATCAGATGGTATCAGTGGTTGTTAAAATAATTAAACTACCTTGTATCTGTGTAGCACACCTGTCTCTGAGGACATTCTGTGCTTAGTAAACACAGTCTTTAGCTACCTCAGTATTCTTAGGAGAGCACTTAACAGACTTTCACTAATGGGGAAGCTGGCCCCAAATCTGACATGGCACCTGCCCATGGGTATGCCGTTCACAGCCCTAAATCTCAGCCTCACCATGGCCGGCTGGCTCCAAAGTGTGGTGAAGCTGAACAAAGACACTCTATTTCTTTCACCTACACAAAGTCCTTTTCTCTGGGTTTTTCGTTTTTTGTTTTTTTGCCAACATTATTAACCAAAGGATAAGGGGGGTAAAAATAGAACTCAATGATGCCCGGGGAGTGAGCAACGAACGTGTCAGAGTGAAATGAACAGTGACAATCACTGAACAATGCTGTTCATGTCCTCTCCACCTGACAACATGATTTTGGGTCCCATTGCCCCAATAATCTCATTTTCACTTGGCATCAAGGAGGGGTAAGTGGGTCTGCCCTCTGCTTCCCTGGAAGCCGTTTCTTGCCACTTGTGAGCAGTGGAGGAGGAGGGGCTGTGGCCAGGGGAGCGAGGGAGGCAATCTACGGAGACTCAGGGCAGCTGGCTGACATTTCCCTTCTCAGTGGGATCTTGGATTCTCTCCATCCTGCAAAGAGATGTCTTTGTATTGAACTTCCATCCTTGTCTCTTCTTTTGTTTTCTGAATGGGTATTTCGTGGCCATTTTTCTACCCTGAAATTTTCTACTCATCCAAGCGAAGTGACGCCTATTGTATCTTGTAGCACAGGTGTCTCGGTCACATCATAATTGTTATCTATGCTGCACGGCTCAAGAAACGGGAGGGCAACTCACAGGTAATAATAGCTTTTGAGACGCTGATGTGCTGCGACACCCTTTTGCCAAGAAGCCAGGAATCCTGTGAATCTGTCGGGAAGTGTGGGCCGAAGCGGCCGCTCCCCTGGCTCTGTGATTCACAGGCGTCTGGCTCTATCTCCTGGGCATCGAGCACACGCCAGGCCCTCGTACTCCCTGGCATCGTTCAGGTGGCAGATGAGGCACACACCTACGGTGGAAACTACAGAGAACTGCAACATCTGACCAGAAACTCCAAGCCTTAAAAGCCTTTCCGTAGACATCTAAATGAGCCGCTGACTAATCAATGTGACAGTGACAGCTATGCCTTAACCGCAGGGACACTTGGGTTTATAGGGAGACCATGAGGTGTTTAATCAACCTGCTACCTCAGACTACCCACTTGAAGGAGCTCTCCCTCGGGGGAAGTGCAGTGTAAAGGACAAGTTTCGAGAAGGCACGAGGCAGCTTTCCTCAGGCTCCATTTTCTAGCCCCAGACCCTTCACGGCGGCTTTGCACCACGTTAGGGTACACACGGCCTTGGGACTTGAGGTTGAGGTTGCTCAAATGCCAACTCATTCCCCTGCTCTACCTATTTCCATGTGCTCCCACTCAGAGCAAATTTCCACATCGCAAGGCTTGGAAAAATACAGGCAGAGCCACTTGTCCCATGTGCCACTGAGCAAATGCCTTAGCACCGTTCCCCAGCTCTGTTCACCCCTACGAGGCATATCCAATTTGTACAATTCGGTGGACATATTTCCCTCGCAGGAACCAACACTCTCACCAGCATTCCCGAGGGCGAGCAGATAGACTGTTCGCTAGGGTTCTCTGGGGCAAAAGAGAACTCTGTCTAGTGGTATGTTGGCCCCAGATGATCCTGGAAGTCCTTTCCTCTCAGCCTGTGATGCTCTGCGCAGCTGAGGGTGGGGACACAAAGACCAGCTGTGTATTTCAGCCTCATTGTCATGGGAGCCATCAAAATTCACCATTTAGGATGTGCCAGGCACTGTGTTAAGAGATTTGTATACATCATGTGATTTAAACTCCCTATCAGCCCTATAAAATATTTATCATCATCATCTCCATTTCATAGACAAAGGAATTGAGGGTTAGAGAGATTACGGAATGTGCCTAAGATTTGAACCCATGTTTGACTCCAAAGCTCACATTTTTGACCACTAGAGTCAGAGCAGGACAGAACAGACGTGGTAGAAATGAGTGGGTTTACTCAGCACCCCTTTGTAGCATACTGGTCCTTATTATTATTTCGTACTATTTTTATCATCATGGTTTCAGCAGATAGGCTTAGAGAGTTGATCCAGAGCTAGTTTAGATCAAGGAGACTAGGCAGATCCTTGGATTTAGCGGTCAATGCCATGTAAGTCAAGAACTGGCAATTAACGAGCTCTAGTCACTCCCCAGTTTACTACAACATCAAACCAGTCTGGGCTGAAGGCAACCTCAAACTTATCCTCAAGAACAGGAGATCTAGTTTGAGGGGCCCCTGGCATCTACGCCTGTACTGCACCACCCTCAGGTCAGGCTCCTCATGCTATAAGTAAATAATAAGTAAATAAATTCATTCATTCAATACATATTTTTTGAATGCTTATCATGTTCCATGCCCTGTTCCAGACACTTGCAGTGAACAAAATAGACAGAAACTCTGACAAACAGAGGACCCCTGACTTCAGAATCGAGCTGAGATTTACTACCAGCTTCCGGACCCAGGTAGAAAAGGGGGGACGTTGTGAGAGGGAGGTTGGAACTCAGCATGACAAAAACTCTCACCCCAAACCCTCTCATTTGGAACAGCCTTTGCGACGACCTCAGTGGCTTCACCATACACTCCGTCTCCAGCACATCAATTTAATTACACCAGAGAAGATAGTGTGGGGACTTAGGCAGCAAAATCCTATTTCCCTCAGCAGCCTCGAGAGTCCTCAGTGAATTTCTGTCCCCGGCACGCACTTATTTTGGTATTAAAATGAAATCTGCGTTGGCCGTATTTGTGGGGAGGCTGACTTGCTGCTGCCTAAGAGCTTTTCCCAGGTCAGCAGAGGTCTGTTAATCTCTCCCCAGCATCTTGACGTGTGCTGGAGGCTTCGGTGGGCTGTCTGGGGGTGCGGGCTTGGCTTGGAAGGCAGGAGCACTGCAGGGAGCTGGCTGGAGGCTGGAGCACAGGCTCTGAGGGGTTCAAAGCTTCCATGAATATATATGACTTCAGGTTTCCTGATAGCCTTTCCCTGAAACCTCCGTTTGCAAAGCTTGATGCCTCTTCTTCTTCCAACTGCACCAGGTCGCATCTGGGCCCAGATGTGTGTAGCTGAACCGTCACTTCTTTACAGCAACTGCGATCTACTAAGGAGTTTTCTAGGACATAAATAATTAATGAATAGAAAGGAAATATGAGGAAAAGTCTTCAATATGTTCCCAGCCAAGTTCAGAGGCACCTCCTGAGTGGTTCCGCATTGATAATCTGAGTCATCCGCACAGCCTTTTGGGCGGGGTGGGGAGGTGTCTGGGGAAACAAACCCAGCCTTTTCCTACATTTGCTATTCGACTGCATCCCAGACTTTTCTATGTGGGCTTTCTTTGGGCAACTTCAGCCCGTCTCATTCCTCAGAGACGTTTGAGCTGAAGGGGGAAGGAGGCTCCCAGGACTCAAGCTCCTTTTCTGTTATTTCCAAACTCAAACACTTTCTCCTACAACGACTTGCAGAATTATGGGAGAGGCTCAAAGCTCTGATACCATGTCCCTCCTGCAGGTCTCTGCAGCTGCCCCCAAGTAAGCATTTATCTCCTCGTTGCTGGAGAGCACCGTGTTTCTGTGCTCCTGCTATTCCCAGCGGCTCTCTTGGTGCTGAGGCTGAGGCTGAGGCTGAGGGTCCTGCAGGAGAAACTCAAACACAAATGCTCTTTGCTTTTCAGCGGATTGTCTTCTTCGACTCCGTACTCAGGGCTGCTGCCACAGGCCTGTGTGGACCTACAAACATTTACGCACTCGAACTTGACATAACCCTGCCGGAAGTCCTGAGGCCTCATATGAGCTAGAGAGGTTGTCCTTAATTTTTTTCTCCTATATTTTTACTTCTTATTCTCTCTCTCCCTCCTCTAAGACAAAGAATGATAGTAATAGATAATATCTACTGAGTGCTTATCATGTGTCAGCCACAATTCTAAACATTTACATGAATTAACTTGTTTATCCTGAAAGCACCCCATGTAAGGTGTTATTATTCCCATTTTGCAGATTAGAAAACCGAGGCACGTACACAGCAAGGGAGTGGCAGGACTGGAATCGAATCCAGTTTGCTTCCAGAGCTGGTGCTTCTAAGAATACCGACAATTCTTTTCCCTTCTCCTCGAACACCCTTCCAAATCCTACCGTCTGGGCTGCTGGCGGCCCCCTGGGTAAGAGAGGTACCTGAATAGCCTGTGATGTCCATCGCCTTGAGGTTCCGACATTTAATCACTGTGAGGGTGAGCCTGCCTGCTGTGGGCAGGTAGCAGAGGGAGAACATGATCTCTCCCAAGTCCACACTTTCCTGCAAACAAGCAGACAAGAGAGCGGGTGAGGGGCACACAGGCCGTGGGCCTCACTCCCTGTGCCGCATCTGTGGGCACACTCTGGGGCCCAGGGGAAGGCTCTTAGAGCCACAGTGCTGTGTCTTTCAGACCCAAGGGACAGGCCACTGGGAGTAACTGAGTACAAAAGGCAATGATAACAATATTGCCTCCTCCGAAGACTCTGTCCCCTTCAACATTCCCTCTCAGTTTTGACCAGATTCTGGTCCTAGTCCTTGCCCTTCCGCTTTGGCCTGCCCTGCCCTGTGTGCACCCCTCGGCTGCAGCCTCCGACCACCAGCCCCTTGTGGCCCATTCCTGTTCTCCTCCAGCTCACATGTCTCAGTCGCTGACCCCCTGACTTCCCACCCCGTCCAGGCATGCGGTCATGACAGTGTCCCAGACAAGATGTATGCTCTAGGGCCCCTATCCTGGCAGAGCTGCAATTCTTTTCTTCTTCTGCCCCTCAGCTCAGTCATTCTTTGTCAATCCCTCTGCCTTACTAGCTTCCTTGCCTCTCCCAAAACGTACCCAGCTCTCTAACTTCCGGTCTCAGACTGGAAGCACAAGGAACTGAAACCCAACTCAGGACATGCTGCCAACCAAGGAGACATACACTCGCCATCCCATGTTTGACGCCAGGCCTTGGATCACTTTGTCCTTTTTCCTTAAATAGAGTCATCTTTCAAAAATAAACCCAACACGGTGCACACTCTCTGCTGCCTCTCCTGTCCCCAGAATTGTCGTGGCCAGGATCCCGAGAAGTTTTTTGAGAAACTAGGAAAACTTCGAGATGATGAGCACGTCCTTCTGCTGCAGTAAGTAGTGCCTTGCCAGAGTGCTTCCTCCACTTGGTGAACGGGGGTGCTGTGATGGCGAAGCCTCCTCCTGCAGGTGTGAGGCTGGCTTGGGCTCCAAGACATGGAGATATTCCCTCCCTTAGGGGTCCCGGAGCCAGGTTTGAGGAGGTTTGAGTTTGAGGAGGTCAGGCTTTGGGCTGGCTCTGATTTCTGTTAGTTAGTCAGTCAACAAATATTTATTGAGCACCTGCTATGTGCTAGGCATGGATCTGAGTGCCCGGGATATAGAAGAGAACAAAATAGACAAAAATCCCTGCCTTACGGAGCGTACATTTTATTAGGGCAAAGGACAATAAAAAAGGTAAATAAATAAACTAGATAGTCAAAAGTATCAAGGAGAAAAAAGTAAGGCAGAAAAGGAGGATATAAAATATGACCATGGGGGAGACTATAATTGTTACAATTTTAGCCAGGGAAGGCCTCCCTGAAGAGGTGAGGACTTCTAGGAAAGAGAGGAGTCAAGGGTGACACCAAGGTTTTTGTCTATTCTCCTCACAAAGAACAACCGTCTACTGGAGACTGCTAGAGTCTTGGCCCCACCTGGAGAATAATCCAAGACTCCCTCCTCCCCCCAAGCCCCCACCTCCCATGGCATCCCAACATTCTCCTCTAGGTGGCCCCGACACCCACCCTTTCCCTGCCCCAGATTTGTCTTTTTGTCGACCCCTAACACCCCCAAATCAAATCCCAGGAGTAGCAGAAGGTGAATACCCTCCTCTTCCCAGGAGGGGTCTGGCTGAGGCCAGAGCTGGGCCCCCGGCAGAGACAGCCACCCCCTCCAGCACACAGAGCCTGTGGCCTCCACAGAGCCGGCCATCCGAGCCCAGCACCCATGGAGCACTTGCAGGGACAGCATGTCCACCTCTGAGGCCCACAGCGACTCTGTGAGGCCGGGATTGCTATCATCATCCCTCCAACTCACAGACGAGGAACTTGAGACTCAGTGTAAAAGCCTGAGGCAGCTGGGAGCATGCGTGCTGAGCCTGCAGTGTGGTGTGTGCCCCGCACACAGCAGCGAACTCCACTCTCCATCCCACCAGCCAGCCGGATGCCCGACTCTTGGGAGTGCGCCCCCTGCAGTCCATCTTGGAGCAGTGTCCCTTCCAGCTCACCTAGGAAGCAACTCATGGTGACCGGCACTCCTCTGGACCTTGGACCACACTTCAGCCAGTTCATTTGCTTGTCCGTTCATGTTTACCAGTGCCTGCCAGGGGCACTGTGCTTTGTGGAGAGTGTTCAGTCCCCACCCCCAACACGCAGATGGTCTAGTGGGCGTAGCTGGTTAAAAGAAGGATACCCATACCCAGCTAGGATACCCATCTCCCTCAGGTGCATCTCCTGTCCCCTAGTCCCTGGGTCAAGAGAGGGACACACAGCAACTGCCCTGGCATTGAGCCTGCGGCAGGGATCAGATCAGTGTGCATCTGGCTAAATGTTCCATCTCTGACAGAGGCACCGAGAGAAGTATAAGGAGAAGACCCAACTCCCTTTATTTCCCTTAATAACTCTCCAAGGTCCGATCCTGCTCAGAGTTACAGAGACCCTTTCAGATTCCGCAAGCACAGAAATAGGAACCAACTCCTACCACACGCTGACCGTGTGCCAGGCACTCTGCTAAGTACTGCGCTCAGTTACCCTGGTGAGTCCCGCACCAGCGCTACGAGGTAGGTGCTCTTACTGTTCCCATTGCACACAGGACAAAGACGGATGTTTTGTGAAGTTAAGTAACCTGCTCGAGGTTGCATGACTGGTGTGTGCTTTTGTGCCAGACTTTCACATGTCAATGCCAAGGCTCAAACCCTCAGCGGTTGCCCTTGTTTGGTTTCTGGAATCAAGGCTGATCTTCTCAGCTTGCATTTGGGGCTCTCAACAATTGGGTCCTGTCTTACTTCCTCAACTGATTCTCTCCCTTCTACTCCTCTACACCAACCCTCTGCTCCACGTGGCTTTGGTCCCTTTTGCCAGAATGCCTCCCCTCCTCCTCTTCGCATGGATGCTCCCGTGCCTGCATCGCATCCCGCCAGGGACCCTCGCCCAAGGCCCAGCCCACAGTGAGCGTCTCTCCCCCGCATCCCTGCAGTGCTTCCTGCCCCTGAGCTGCTCACAGGAGTCCCTGAGGCCCCTTTGGCCCTGCAGCTGTGCCCCCCTCGCGCCTGCCGAGAGGCCTTTTGGGGCATGTTGCCTTACACCTACGGGTGCCTCAGATGTCCGGCAGCACACGAGGGAGCTACGCAACTGCCTGCAGAGAGGGACAGTTACCTTTTAGCAAAAAAGGGGCCTGGGAAGAATTCTGGAAACTCCTAGGGCCCCTGAGAGGGGGTGAACAAAGGCTGCTGCCACCATTTCCCACCTGCTGTCCCAGAGATGCGGAGCTGTGCTTTCACGGCTGTCTCTTTCGGGGAGCCTGAGTTGATTCGTTTGTGGACTTGGGAGACTTGCCTGGGGACGTGAGGATCGCGCAGGGCTCTATGAACTGCTCTTAAGGATGGCTCCCTCCAGGGGAGCACCGAGCCGCAGGACCCCCTCCTTTCTGCAGGACCCCTGCCCTGTTCGCAGCCCTGTGGCAGCCGGGAGCATGCGTGCTGAGCCTGCAGTGCGGTGTGGCCCCCGCACACAGCAGTGAATCCACTCTCCATGCACGGGCCCCGACAGGCTGGCCCAAGATCCCACCATGAACTGGAGGCAGAGAGGAAACAGGGGCCGGGGGTGCGAAGCCCAGTTCCGGGGCTTCTGCTGTGGGTGATCGGGTCTGACGGTAAGTTGGCAGCTCTTGGCTCAGTGGATTGAGGGGGATACTGTTTCCCTGCACATGCGAGCAGCAGAGGACTGGCTTATTTGATAAAGAAAAATAAATAGGTTAATTTTGAGTAAATAGAGAGATGGAAGCTAAGCAAACACAGAGAGTCAGCTTCTCTTGGTAGCCGCTCTTCCTCTCTGGAAAGCCGGGCCCCAGCTTGGCCCTGTGGCCGCCTTTACCACGTCCTCTCTCTGCACTGCCCTTTTTCAGGAGGTTTCAGCCTCAGATTCCACACATCTTACCCGCCTTTTATCCTCATTAGGGATGTTGGAGACTTTGGACTTTAATAAAACCAGGGGCGAGCAGGGGCTGCAGAGCAGCCAGCATGTTATTGCTTTCATCTTCACCTGCTGCCAGGAGAGGCTGCCTTAGGGCCCCTGACTGGTAATGAGCTCCCCGGTGCAGGAGAGGTCACTGCTGTCCAGAAAGCAGCAGAAACCAGCATGGCCCTCTCGACTTGTAACCTAGGGGCTGAGAGGGTGGATCCGAGCTCAGTAGCATTGGCTAAAAGACTTAGCTAGTGCTTGGAGCAGGGGTACCTGCTGCCAGGGGAGGGGAAGTCAGGATGTTGACTCCTGGAGAAATCTGTCCTTAAGTGCCACCTGTCCACTTGCCTCGCTGCCCATAATAGCAGCATTCCCCCTAGCTGCGGTGCCCAGGGCACCTGGGCAGGAAGATTCCTAAGGGCCACCCACTGCGCGGCATTGCTCTCGCTGGCTCTCCGGTGGCCCATCAGCAGCAACTTGTTAAAGAACTTCTCTCTTCTTGATGCACTCGCATAGCCCCAGGCATAGAAAAAAAAAATCCTGTCTGTGGGCTGCCCCAGAAAGAGGAGTGAATCACAAGTCAGGAGATAGGGGGCTTAATCCCTCTGCCCCCAACTAGCTGTGAGACCTTGAGCAAGTCATTTTACATCTCTGGGCCTCAGGCTGTAAAATGAAGGGCTGTACTAGATGAGATGATCTATCTGTAATGTCCCTGGCCAGTCATGAGAAATGAGGATTCAAACTGGAAAATCAGCCATCGCCCAGAGAGACGGCCCTGGGATGCTTAGTTTGTGTCTACCGCCTGCCTCAAGGAATCTAGCAATCTGGTTTGAAATCCAAATGCTCGCATTTCTTCAGTCCTCACTGCCCCCAGATATTTTGTTCTTCTCCAGAGCCAGTCACGCTTCCCCCTAAAGAGGCAATGAGTGGCATCGATGCCTCTGAGTCTGTCTTGGGAATCCAGGCTGAGCAAAGCAAGAAAATGCTTCCCCATTTCTTAGAGAACACTTCTGGTCTCTTAATCATTAAGTGGCTTCTCTGACTCTCTCATCATCAGC